CGGTGACTAAAGCCACTAAATCACTCTCTCGGCTGGAGACATAAAATGTGCCAAATCCAAAGCCATAATCCTGGGACAAAGATCGATTCTAGAAAGGGTTGTCAATCTGGTGATGTTATGATGTTATGTCTCGGATGAGCGCAATCTCATTGGTCACTGATCCACCAATCAGAGCGGGAAGCAGCGAGGGGCATGTCCCTCAGCTGGCATTACAAGTCCCTTTTGTTCAACTCCTTTTTTCCTAATCGTCTGTTACTCATTTGAACAGATCGCATAAGGCTATTCCTTCCTCAGGTGTCTGATGATTCTAAATCTCCCAGTAATAAGGCCTAGAATTAAGCCAAAATCCCATGCGATATTTTGCTCAAATCAACTGAATACGATTATTCGCCATTCTTGCGAACTTTGTCTCAATGATATATTTCTCAAGTTAGCTAAACCGTTCCCTTCGAATTAAGTCGATTTCTATTAATTTGCGAAGAAATCGACTGAGACCCCGCTTTTGTCTACTTTTTCTCCATTGAATGAGACGATTGGTTTGTCTCAGATACAAACTCGTGTAATTATCTCAACTGTAATTGTGGTCCTTTCTAACCTTCACCAATGTGCCTTCTCTGGACCAAAATAACGTCCAACATTTCGTGTTTGTGAGCGTGTGGGTGGATGGAGAGAGGGGACGTGCTGTGCAGGTATCCGTGCGGATCCATTAGAGGTACATGTTGTTACATAAATCCTGCGGTACCTCTCACTGCCCTTACCAATGATCAAAGGACATGCATGCATGCTGGACTGCACTGAGGTAAACCATTGCCCAATCCAAACTTCCACTAAGTCGAAGGCTGAGGGCGAATGCGTGGCCAACAGAACTGGAAGAGGAGCCACGGGACTCAGTGAGCAGTGAGACTCAATGGTGTCATGAGATAAACTGGGCAGCATTGGCTCCTGTAAAAGGTGGGCTGGTCTGGGTAGACCGTCTTGATGTTTCGCGTTCTGACTAGCTCCAAAGTTACAAAGCTCCTCCCACAGAGGGATTTAGGCCTTGCGTAATTTGGGAATGGTCCCACAGACGTCATTTCATTCTCCCGCTGAGTGCTCATAAAGATATGCACCACTAAATAAAGTACGACCGGTCGTCCCTTACCAGAAGATGTGTATCTAAGATCAGTCGGTCACCGAATCTAGCCATTTATCTACATAACGGTACGTTCTTGAGGTGTGCTTACTTTCCGAGCAATGTCGAACCCCAGCACCAGCACTACCGTACCCTGGAAGTCCAATTGGACTGACACATAATGCGGTTCGGTTCGGTTCGGTTCGGTTCATTTTCATGTGCAAACGTATTGGCAGCATAGCATAGGTGCCAATTATCACCCTCTTTGGTGCTGTCGTGAAAACACGCGATGGTAATGCTCATGATCTTCAAACATGCAGAGAGGCTTGGAGATTGCTGCCACCACTGTGGAACTCCAGCGGCGACCCAATGGAGAGCCTGAAACGATTTATTTCTGCCACACACAAACACATACACGGTGAACGAATCCAGAATGGCTAAAAAAAGAAAACCTTAAAATCAGAGCCATTCGGATTACTGTGGGTCGACTTAAAAAGATCAACTTTAGACCAAATTTGGAAGCTCAAGTGCCTCTACTTTCGAAGCTGCTGAAACAAACAACCCTGATGTTGGCCTAACAGAACCATCAGCAAATCCTTTAGCAATTGTGCTTAGAGGAGTCAGTTTTTTTTCAATTGTGGGCTCTCTTCTTGCACTGACCCACTCTCCTGCCCTTTTAGCCCCAGCAAGTGTGAATGCGACATACAAATGCAAGAAATCTGTCATTTCGTCACATTATCAGCTTGTTACGCAAGGGGTGGAACAGCCTGCCTTCTTGTTCCCCACTTGACTTATGATGCTCATCTTGTAGGCAGAGAGGCCAAAGTGGTGACAGTCAAACACCCTGAGTGAGCGACATCCTCGCCACCACAATTTCTTACTGCTGTCAAGTTCCTTTGAATTGGGACTTGAACACAAATGGGAAGACGTTGGAGGCAGGCGTGGTGAATTAAACCTCGAAAGGTGCTGGCGAAACAGAGATAATGATTGATGTAATAAAAAAGTAATTGTTTCCTCCTCTGGCTATTCATTTTAACCCTTTAGTGGTAAACACTTTGATGTTCACTTCAAACGTGCCGGTGGTACAAAAACTAGGGGAAATTTTAAAGTACATTTTCACCCTTTGTGGATGAGTGGACGCAATAAACTAGCGAATCACGCACAAAAACCAGACGATAGCATCTCATCAAGAATAATGCCCTATTCTCCGGCCTTCCCTGGGAGCGAATTGGCCCAAACGACGTTCAAAACTAGACAATACTGCACTGCGACAACGCCAAAAAGGTCTGTTTGTCCATGTCGTAAAACACAGGATGAGGAAAAGAGCTTTTAAAGTCACCAAAGTGGAAACTGTTCAGCAAAAGCGAAAAATTCACCACATTTATGCTCAATCCCTTCAACTGCAGTTTTTTTTTGTGAAATAAGCGAAAAAATTTCACTTTTCGTATTCGTCGATCTCCTCAGATACTGATTTTTGAATGGCTTTTTCTCTTACCCTTTTAGAATGAATAGGCAATTGCAATGGAACACAGATTCCATTGTAGAAGTAATCCGAACCCATCGAAGTCCCTACAGACCGGCCAGGTTTCACGACAGCACATCCAAAAGGACTATTGAGAGTGACCTTGACTCCGCTTCCTGATTAGTCCATTGAGCAGGCAGCAGACTAGGCCGCCTGCATAGCCGCCACCGCTGCAGTCTCTGCCCCCGCTCACTCGCCTTACTCTTCCCCTAGACTATAAAAAAGATGCGGTTTTGTACTCCCGGTACAGCAGCGAACCGCTTCCGTGATTACATGCAGTCAGTGAATCGTGAACTTTTAATTATCTTCCTCCCTCCCTCCCTCCCTCCCTCACACACGCACACACTCCCCGCTCTACCTCGAGTTCCGTCCGCTAGCGCGTGCGCCACTGTTTTTGTGCGCGTTTAGAAGGTAGCCTATTTTTTACGAAGCTAAAGTCAGACTCTGTCTCGCGCACTTGTGAATTTCGCACCACAATTTGTGTTTTGTTTATGGTTGGTGAAATCTCCGTTCCATCCATCCAACACCTCGAAATTAATCGTACTGCTAGCATTCATTTGTTGCACTTTCGAATTTGGATTTCCTGTGCAACTTTATGGTCTGCAATCGCTTCGGTCGGCTACTTCCTGTAGAACAGTAAACTGGATAAGACAACTGTGTGATTAGTGGAGAAAAATCCAGAATAGAGCGCATAACTTTATTTGAAAATCTGTCATTCTTTGGTTTAAATGATATCTTAGGGACTGTCAAATAGTTGAAGTCTACATTTGTGGAATAGCATAAAGCAATTACTACCGCTGCCAATTTACGCTTTGCTTCAGGTGAACAAAAAAAATCGGGAGGATCGAGTGAGCAGAAAGAGGACTAAACATCCGCATTACCACCGGATAATTTTTGTTTCCAGGGCCGTTGGCTTTTTTTGGAACTTTCACATCAAACAGAATAAAATATGTAGCAAGAAAATTGCTCTAAAAAAGTCCCAATGAGACAACTAATGGCAAATATAAAATCCACCCTCACCAAAACCAAAAGTCCAAAAATGATCGATTTGTTATGGCCCCTTTTGTTTATTGTCTGCTAGTTGCCTACTGGGCTTTGATAAGGCAAGCAGCACACAAATACCAGAGATCTCGACAAAGTCAAATGGTTGAACTTATTGGCAAACAGCGCCCAACCAACAGACAAAGCACACTCTTTTTACAAAGAAACACATCTCTCTGATTCTATCCACCCACGGCATCAAGTCTAATGCGTGTCGTCGCGGTTCGTTCACACCCTTACAGGTGATAAAATCGATACTTCAATGTCGATACCTAACGAAAAGCCGATAGTGCCAAAGCAGGACTCTGTTGGTCATTGATTGAAGATAATTAGCGTTCTGGTGAGATAAAAGCAATTATAATGGTTTGATTAAGCAATTTTCAAGGATGTCCTTCTACCAGCTAATTGGGTAGAAAAATTCATCTTATTACTGCACTGAGTAGCAGTAGCATGCCCACCGAAATTTCGATATTGAGGAGTCAAACTCAAGGTTTATTTAAAATCTATTGAAATCACGTGTTTCGGCTTTGGAATGGACATGTGCGTGTGGTTGGTTATCCGAGAGGTCAAATGTCGTGCCCTTGAAGACCAAAGCGCATTTGCGGAAAGCAAAACACGCATCACGTGGTCAGCATGCATAGGTGTGTTTACAAATGTAGGTGCGTACTCACCATCTTTTGAAATCCTTCTCTCCCGGAAGTGACTTCAAATTTTAGTTATCTTAAACATAAATCACGGTCGCTTTTAGGAAGCCTTCGTTGGAAATAACCTAACATTGATGTCAATGGGAAGAGCACATGCGGATTAAACTTTTCGAATCTGCTTACAAAAGTGGTGGCTGCGAGATATTTGTTCAAACTTCTCCTCAAAAAATGGAAACATCCAAAAAGATAGGCGAGCAAAGCTGGGCATGAGGAGCAATCAGGAGACAAGGAGACGACGGTACTTGCTCGATGCTACCATCCCCACCAATCATCACGCTGCGACCTTGGAACGTCATCATCACGGCTGTCTCCCGCATTTGCGTGTCTGTGCACGCACGCACACGTGCACGTGCGCACCTCATACCGCACCGACGAATAGGACAAGTCCTCTGCCCCTATACTCGTCAAGGCTGTAAGATGACCTTCAAACTGGCGTGTGTGCATGTCTTATTGCTGCACACACGCGCGTGCGTACGTGAGTGCACAAGTACGTGCGCACATGTGCTAACGTGGAAGCCTTTATATTTCATAGGCGCGCATGCATGACGCGTGCGCACGCGCGCTTGCACGCCGCCTTCGCCATTCATTCATTCAGTCATTCATTCATTCATCAGAACAGTCCATGTGCACAGTGCCGAAAGACCTAGCGGTCGTCTCGTCGTCGCCCGCCATTTCTTCGTCCGCCTCTTCCCCTGCCGCCTCCTCTGCCTCCGCTGTCTCGCATTCCCTCCTTCAAGCCACCATTTTTCCCCCTAGTCGTCGAAAAAGACGTAGAGACGGTGAGTGCCCGTGCACATCCTCGGTGGCTGTCACCTCACCTTCTGCACTAACATCGGGATCTGCAGCATTAGTGGCAATGCGAGATTGTGAAAGCAACAGCACCCTAATTGATCCTGACCCGACTACCACATCTACATCGTCGACAAGCACTTCAGGAACTCTCCCAAACGCAGACAACACCCTCTTGCGGAAAATTCTTGCCGGTGCCGATTTAGCCAGTGTTCGCAATCACAGCGTCCTGGTGGATAGTAATTTTTCGCTTCGTAGAACCTCCTCCATGTCCACTGCTTCCTCGCGCTACAGGTCCTGCACTCCTGACCCCAATTCCGATGACAAGCGTCGACGACGTTCCACTATGTTCAGTCACCTTACCCTGCCACGACGGACTTCTGACCAAGAGGAAGAGGAACAGCGCCCTTGCAAGCGTTTGAAGGAACCTGGAGTTGATGGAGATAAGAGCGGAAACAATTCTCCCCCGGTCCCCATCAAAGTGGAGTCTCGTGATCCCGAAGATCGTCCGTCCTACACCACCCCTGCTTCCTCCTCATCTGATGCCACCAACGGCAACAGCAATCCCGGTACTAACATCGTCGAAACACCTTTCGATGTAACCGAAAGGTCAATTTCCAAGTTTCCAGGCAAACCATCGAAACGCTGGCGATTGAAGAGCCCTATCCGTCAATCTCCATCGCATAGTCTGAGTCCTCCTGCCGTTCCCAGCACTTCACATGCGGATCCAACTGAAGTTTTCCCGATGCGTCCACGAGCGAGAACCACCTCAGAGTTGGATAATGTTATTCGGATGTTTACGGAAGGAAAGTACCATCTGAACCGATTTCGTCTAGACTCTTTCGACTCCCTCAGTGGTGGTCTTAAAGCAGGAAAAGCATCCGCTGTTCCGAAAAGTGGCGATCTAAGGCGCGGAGAACCCGGTGATAAGTCCTCCGATATAACGTCTCCCCTGAGCCAGCTTCTTGAATCCACACCACCCTACAGTGGTGGAACAAATACTATCCACCCGCGAGCCAATACCACCACCTCTGTGTTCCCTTGGTCATACGCCACAACCCTTAAGAGTGGTGCGGGTGCAAATCCCCCTTCCGTGGCTCGTATAAGCCTGCCCTTCCCTGGAAATGGACCTAAACACCATCACCACTTACAACATCCTTCCCATCGTCATCACCCGGAACTAGAGATGCTCAATTTGACCAAGACTCCTGTAACTGTCTCTTCGGATTCCGTGGCCTCGATTCTTGCCGCGACAGCTCTCAACTCCTCCCAGTTCTTCCAGGGCATTCGAGACGAGCAGATGTTGAATTTCAGCCGGAAGGAAGTCACAAGGCAACTTCCTCCACCACCACCACCACCGCCGCCACCACCACCACCCATCCCGCCTCCGATTTCACTCTCCCTTACCAGCGACGACATTCTCCAGTGGTCACCCAATCAAATGGCCGCATTGCAGCAACTATTTCGCCTTCCCGACGCTACTGGTGCCGTGGTTCAATCAATGTCTCGCCCATCAGTCAGTCAAGAAGCTAAGTTGCCAATCCGCCTGGCTCATGTTAACCGACTTCTCTTGTGCCGTCGGGTAGCCGAGTGGATGCTCGTCGCCAACACATGGGCAATGCAAATGTGCCCGGCACCAATTATGCCCGAGAACTCGCTGCTAGCGACGGCTGCGACCTATCGTTATTGTCGGTGTTCTGAGGCGGAGATAAACATGGCCCATCAGATTGATATGCGGTTGGAGATGCCGAGGGTGGGAATGGGCTTGAAAGCCGTTCTACACCGTATATGGCCTCAGCTCTTGTTGGCTTCCATGATTAGGGAGAACTTCTCTTTTTCCACCACGCCCATTCCCACAACGGAATTGACTGCTCTTATTGGGGCCGCCGGTGGACGGGAGGGTGGTGGTGGCGTAGTAGGAAGTACAGAGTTGAATATTGCTAAGGCTGGAACTGCTGATTCGCTGAAGAACCTCATTAAGGCAGGCAATCAGCTCTTTCTCGACACGCAGGTCTTTGAGTGTGTGAGGAAGTGTATTTTCGCCCAGCGTAAGTCCCGATTAACTTTTTTTTGCTTGTTTAACTAGCCTCTCCGCGTTTTTTTGTCTGCGTTCTCCAACGACTTGCGTTGGGAAACAGCAAGTGGAATTATGCATAGCATTCAGTACCTTTGATTGCCATTTTTGAAGGTAGATTTTCTGTGAGTGGTGAATTACTTCAAGGAATATGTGGGAGAGGGGAATCCATTGTCTACAGTGGTATTTCTGGTAGTGGAACCATAAGGACTCCCACCGTAACTTTATTCGATGGGACCCTTATCTTGAGATTATTGAATTACTTGACGGTGATTGAATTGATGCCTTTGGGGAAGTGGGTGCCCTGCATCGGTCCTTCAGTTAAAGAATAGGAGGTTCCTTCTTCGCAACTCCCTTGATCCATATGAATAGATGCAGTTCCTTTCAAGGAATTCTTTGATTAAATGACTCCAAGGCTCTGGAGCTAAGGAGAGTTGGAAAATGAAGTGATGCAACCTACTTTTGTGCTTGGTTCGTATCTTTACTCGTGAAGTGTTTTTTTTCTCCAAGTTTCGTCTCCAGTTTCAGACTCGGGTTTTTCTTAAACGGAAATCCTAGCACTAATGGAGTTGGAGGAGTTAAGGCAAGGTATCAAGGATTGGGAAGCGGGTCCAATTTTTTGAGTGGATATTGAGAGCTATAATGTTGTCCCAATTTATCTAATGTGAATTTCTGCGCAATTCTGCAACTTGGATGTTTGGCTGGTGTGGTAGCCCTTCTTGAATGTCTCAAAAACGGTGGACAGGAGAAACAGTCTGCCTTACTTTGCTTTGAGGTCACCGTCATCTGCCTCAAGGGGAACCCTCTGAAACTGACTCAAATTGCTGTTTGACTTCGATGGAGAGTTGTTTACGGAAGGGTCATGTGTTTCTTTGGATTCAAATTTTGTAGCTCAAAAAATGGACAGGATGCATTCATGAAATGAACTTTTACTGAGGTGAAAGCTTCGCTTACTTCTCAGTGAACTACGATATCTCGTATCTCCTCAATTAACTCCACTTTCACTAGCCTTTACGGACCCAACCAGATTGCTGTTGCTCTAAAAACTTTCGACAAAAGCCTTCCTACCAGCCTGGAATTAAATTGGAGCATTGTCGTGAGGATTCTTGGTGAATTGTCTCCACTAAGGTGTTGTCGGCCTCAGCTTAAATCCAGATAAGCATTTGCAAAGTTGTGATAATTCGAACGCATTTTTTACTTCCAAATTGGTTTTAATCTTTGAAGAAGGGGAGGTTCGAGACTTCACTCAGCCCAAAAGACCCTGGATGTGATTTAGAAGATGAGGATGGGGTGTATTGTACCCTGTCATCATGGCGGATTGAGACGGCAGAGTCCGTTTTCATTACCAGGATGCTATTATTCTCTCAGCACTGTCTCTACGTTGTGATGCGGACTGACTTTGAGGTTCCCATTTTAACATGGGGTAATTTCCTCCCTTAGCTGTGGAATTATTCTCCTCGAGGTCAACTTCACTTAGACGAGAATAATGGAGGCAGTCGTTTGAGGGGTGTTGGAGGTGCACGCGTCCTGCTCCATAATGTCTCTTATTACGGCGGTGTGCCTCCAAAATGTTCTCTCTTGTTCTGCATCTCCCCTTTATCATCTAATTGGCCTTGGCTTTGGAGGATCCTTCTGATGGTAGGCTTGGGCCTTTCGCTTGGTCTAATCTGAGTGAAAGCGCGGAGCTGAGAAACTTATCATATTTTCTCATCATCCGTAAACCTCTGAAATGTTCAAGAGGTTTTGAGCTGGACGAGGATCGGTGGATTATCATTAGCTTCTAAGGGTATCCCCTTGGCCATTCCCACCTTCATGAACACCGGCCGTCTTTTTGGGTTCAAGTCATCCTCCTCATCATCATCATTCTTGTATCGTTTCTCAAATGGAGTGACGAACTTCGAATTCCAACTGAGTTCGAGGAATTCTTTTTTGCCATCAGCAAGCTGAACAACGCCAGTGTGCGAGATTCAGCATCCATTCAAAACAGCACTCCATTTATTTGGTTTTGTGAGTGTTAGTGAGCTTTGTCTGCACACATACACAAGAACGTGGATAATGGCGACCGCTTCATATGACATCTCCGCATCGGACCTCGTGGGTACGCTTTAGCGATGAGAGTGAGAAGAGTCGGAGAGAAGAGTGAGACACCAAAAGAGTAGACCCATAAACGGTAGTGAACGTGAGTAGAGGTGGCGAAGCAACAGGTAGAGGAATTAACCAGTCGATGACCAAGGCACCCTTGACACACAATCAATAGTAGGGCTACCATTCGCGGATCTAGTGTGTGTGTTTATTGGGAGTGTGTTTGTGTGTGTGCATGCACCCACACGTATACAACAACGTACTTTTTAACTCGCGTGAAGTTATTGTATGTGGGTAGGAAGGTCCCTTATGCGCCTGTGTTTTTATGCCTTTGTGTGTATGTGCATGCACGTATGCATAGGGAAGGCTGTTTTCGCTAGCATCGCCTTTTTGAGACTTCTTTCCACTCCGACAGGTGTATCGATTTTGCCATTCTTTGGATGATTTGTTGTGACCTTCAGATGACTAGAGATGATCGAGGGTTGAGACGATAAATGAGGTACCAAAGCAGAGCTTTTAGTTGACCATTTCTTTCGATTTGAAGGAGGGTTATCTTTTGGGGGAGCTAAAGGCAGCTCCAATGGGAGAGGCAAGCTAACTCATGCTAATCCAATGACCGTCTATCCATTTGTTGAGTACTCATTCTCGCATCCCTCTCAGTTCGCTGGTACCCAAGGCTACACCATATGAGTCGACTTGCTTACGTCTAGATTAAATGAGCGAGCAAGCTTCCGAGGGTGACTTGAAGATTCGTCTACTCTTCTATGTTATTATGTCATGGCCATGACGTCGAGAGCCCTCCGAGCGGATTGTACATACACTCGCACCCCATTTTGGCCCGTTCGGCACTCACTGGAACTTACGCCTGATGCTTGCTGCATATTTGTGTCGTCTTTGAATTTAATCGACACCGAGGAAACTCTTCCAGTAGGTGTAATTTACATCCTTGTTAAGAAGTTTCCATTCAGCTTCTTTTAAAACGGTGTAGTTGTTATGATGTGGGAGAAGAATTATGCAATATCAACGAAGTTACTTCATTGAAACTTCGCGCACTGATATCTCCTTGAGAGAAAGTCCTTTATTAGACATTGAATTGTCTTATCTTGGAGATGTAAGTTGAATGAATTTTGTTGGGAATCCGTAATAAAACAAGTGAGATGAACTTGTGATTGTAGACCCAATCCCATCATCGCCTAATTCCCTCTCTGACGATTCCTCAGAAGACAGTTTGCTTACAAAAGTTTTATTCGGCATCTCAAGAGAATGGGGTCGAATGAGCGATTCCACCAGAGCAGAGTCCATGTAGCCTCATTCGGTTCTTTCAGCACTACGTTCGCTTTTATACCCTACCTCTCACCTAAAACATCAATTTTAGTGTATTATTAAGGCCCTCTTCTCTTTCAAGCACCTTCCTTGGTGTTATCCCTAAGCGTTTCGTCTGGAGGTTTCTCTTTCTCTATCAACGCGTAGACGTCGTCCTCATAGATTACTAGAGGTATGTCTGTTAGAGATCTCCGCATTCCCAAAGAGGTAGCTCGTAGGTGATAGAACCTTGACTACGCGATAGAGTACCTTATTTCAAGGACGGCAGGACTTGAAATGAACTTCCGGTGGGGAAATTAGTCGGTGTAATTGCACTAGGTCTCCTTCGATGAAGATGCTGATACGGCTGTCTGTCATAGAACCTCTTTTGCCTTCATAAGACCTTCTTCAATTGTAAGACATATCGGGAAGCATTATTTGTCAAGGTTTTTCTACTACGAAGAGTGATGTTGGAAGGGACTCGCACTTCACGACCCGTAAGCAACTTGAAAGGCGAGACTCTTGTCGAAGTGTGAGCAGCAGCTCGGCATGCAAGGAGGACGCGTCCTAAGCTCATGTCCCAACTTCAGGTTATACATCTTTAGTAAACGCCTTCAAGGGCTCCACAAGGATACAGCTCGTTTTTCTACATGCCCATTGCTCTGATGTTGTTTTGACATCGTTTATATATTGTAGATTCCTAAGGCTTTGCATAGCTCTGTGAAAAGAGCTTTCAAAACCAGACCTTCGGTCGCTATGGGTAGATTCAGGTACCCCTTGTTGACGAATCCACTGTCTCAGCATCCTGCATCTGTAGAGGTCCTGTTTCAGCTAACTTAGTGAAAAATTCAACCATCATTGAGATGCAGCGGCTTCCTCTTTCAGATGTTGAAAGAGTTGATGATGTCCATACCTACTCTTCCTCCTGGGAATCCCGTAGGCATAGGCTGAAGAAATGCAACTGCAGTGCAATCGTGATGCATATACGGCAAAAATCTAAGACATCAGAGGGAAGTGGAGGTCATCAATATCCCACGGTCTCTACCGTCTTCTTTTTATTGCACATGGCTCAGTTACACTGCGGTTCCAGCAGAGACATTTGTGTTAGTGAGTCTGGAACTACGAGAAGTTTGAGACTCGCTGTATTGTCACTGCAACATGCTTGTTGAGCTCACCTCCTCGGCTGTAGACTTAGCTAAGACTGTCTGTAGCTCCTCATATACGGGGATCGTGTCTGGATCAGCATACTGCATATTTTTTAATGGAGAGCAGTTAGCTCGCTCAACAGTAGCGTACGTTAGGCCCTGACGGTCTGTAGGCACTATGAATTGCTTGCCTACCAGATAATGTTTAAAGTGCCTAACCATCTCATATAGGGCAAACAGCTCCCGTTCCGTTGCGCTCTCCTGTCGCATTTTCTTTTTAACTGAATACTAACGTAGATGATAACGCGTTCTTCCCCATCTTTGTGCTTTGAGAGAGTACACCGCTTTCTATGTCCAAAACAAAAGGAGGAACATTAGTCTCCAAGTTAGGTAGAACCAGTATCGATACTCCTTAAACGTCCCCATGTGTTCGGTTTCCCAACGAAACTCCTTTACCGCTCGCTTCTAAATCAGGTCGTGTAGTGGACTGGCGAAACGACAGTAATAGTTCGCCAACCCGAGAAGACTGGAGCTCTGTTTGATTAGCGGAAGTCGGCTAAGCCCGCACTTGCTTGCACGGTCTTCCGTGACCATCGTCTCTTCAACAGAGGTCGTGTGGCTCAAGAGGGTGACAGATTTCCAAAAAAAGAAAAAACAGCATTTTGTTGAGTTCATTGTCAAACCGGCTTCTCGTGAACGATCCGACATTAGTCGGAGACTGAAGGTGTGCTGTTAGATGTTCCTACCAAAGATGAGGACGTCATCCAAGTAGATAAGGCAGACGTAGACTACCGTCACTCTTGTGTACTAACGCGATAGGGGGATGGGGGAGGCCCAGACTGATTTGGAGGGCCTAGTGGCGCCGTTGCGACGCCTCTCGTTAATCAGCCTTGGAGGAAGGGGGGAGATGCACCCGGACGGTCGCCAAAGCGGCTTAGCCTCACCCGTATCGATCGTGTGGTCAACGGTGTTCACTCCTCCCAGTTTCACCCTCGTGCAGGAGACTGTGTCTGAGTGGTTGTGTTAAGCAGCTAGTGCGGCTCCCTTCTTTCACTATCTGTGACTTGTGTCGCCCTGTGTAAGCAGAACCCACTTAAATCGGTTACGGTGATGGCTGCTGTAGCGAAAAGAGAGTTGTAAATGGTATTTGCGTGTTCTTCAGGGTGAGGTTCAGTGACACGCGCCTCATAGTTTTGATGAGTCGTAAATATGCCTTCACAAAACTCATGATTGTTTGAGTCTCTCATGGGAATCCGCGCCTAGTGCTACATCCCATACGAGCTCTGGACGTAATATGAAATTTACTCTTCAGCTCTCTTTTACCCCAATTCAACATCACTCCTCCTTCTGTGGAGCGTAATTTTGTAGTCGGGGCGGCCACTCGAATCCTATTGGAAATGGACGGAAGAAATTGTGGATTTGGCAGATATCTGGTCGCATCATAGTCGAGAAGAAGCATGCATGATTTATCCTCTACTTCGCCCGGGACTCGCGTGAGGTATGCGAATCATAAGGAAGTAGGCATGAGAAGGGAAAAGGAGTCTTATAGAGATTGGGGATATCCGGCAGAAGGGTGCGACGTTGTCCATTGTAGCTTGACCATCTGTTGTGCGGCTGGGAAGGAGGAGGTTGGAAGTGTTGTTCTGGGCGTTTGGCTGCCGCTATGTCGATAGGTTGGTGGGTCGAATCTCCTTTTTAAGCTGAGCGGCCACCCACTTTGGACGGACAACGTCTGTAGAAAACCTTCTGCCCGAAGTTGAAGATTTGTGGCACATTCTCCACCACCTTACCCTGGTTTTTGGAGTTGGTGAAAGAAACCAGAGGCGAGGAATTAACTTTCGTACGAAGCGTAATTGTAGACAACACATTGCAACAATGATCAACATCTGGGACGAGGGAGACTGCGGCAGCCATAGCAGCCGGAGTAGGTCGTGGTGAAGGGTAATGGTTACTGCCTTTGGTAAAATGCTAGATTGCATTTCGTAGTAACCAAGCGATCTCCGAAGTCCATGTCCTCCATGAAAGGGGAAGTTCGACCGGCACTCGCACTAGTGTAGCTCCAGTGCCTCAGTCTCCGTCTGATGTTTTCTCAGGATGGAATTTGCTTACGTTCATTTTATCTGACGTCTCAAGTAGGCAGAGGCAACGGTACCGAATGTCATCAGTCTCATGTACCATTGATCGATTCCCCCGAGCCGACGGTCGCTTTTATACTCTCCCTCTGACCTACAAGGTCGATTAAAACAACTTGAGTGTACTACAGTGGTATCCTGAGCCCTAGGTAGGCGTCTCAACAAAGTTGATGTATTTGTGATTTTTCCTCGATAAATGATCAAAGAAAGAGACCGAGTTGTGCATCTCTGAAGGTTGTCTTCAAAACAATGCCTGGAATCTTTTTACTTTAATGACAACAAAAAACCTCAATGCGAGAATTGCGGCATTTGTCTAAGTGCGTCAAATGTTTGACACCAATTTTTTTGCCTCTGAAATGTATCTAATTAACTTTCTCTCACTTATCATGGAATTCTGAGCAAATCAGCTTGGAACTGCCACGTCTTGTCCATGTTTGAATGAAGTCCAGGCATCAGTAAGTGTGATGAACGATGCTTTGCGCAGCAGAAAGTGCCATTGTCAGACATTTTCGAAATGGGAGGTGAGAATGCTGCTGAAAGGAGAGGATTGACAACAGACTGTGGCAAACAGTGCCTCTATTCTTTCTACCTATGATTGCCTTTACTTGACTTGCATGCACAAGAATTGGTGGAGTTGGGCAGAAGTTCTCGAAAGCTTCAATGGTAGCGAAGCTTTCTGGCGTTGATGCGGTGGTGGTTTGCTGGAAAAATGTCCGCTAGAAATAACAGGGAAACAATGATAGTAGTCGTTGTTAATGTTGCTTCCTTATGGGGGTTAAATTTTGGCATGTCGTGATGTGAAGCCGTTCGAAGGTTAATTAGGAGCATTTAGTGGTCTCTGTATTCTCTTTCCATGTCCCCTTGCCTTTTAGTTGACAGTTTGTCTCTGACGTGTTTGAGTAGTGATTGGAACGGCAGAGGAATGGCTAGGCCCGTTGTACTTAAATCGGCTCATTTCCGTTTTACAGTCAGCTGTTTGTGATGCGTTTTGTTGTTCCTAATGAAGTCTCAACTTCCGCCTTTTCTAATTTACTGCCTTGCAATATCTTCCCTTTCGTACGTTTGGCTCCATTCATCTGACGACTTCTTGCTTCACCGACCATTTATGGCACGAATAACTAGCAACATCATAGGTCAATCAAAGAGACGTATTTTGTTCTTCTAGACGCCTTTCCGGACTACTACCCCGTGTCCTATGCCACCGCGATCGACGAGTTGCGCCAGTGCTGCCATCGGTGCTCCGGTGATGTCTCACTCTTTAACAACGTGGTCCTTCTCATGAATGAAATGCAGTCGATCAATCCGGAGGGTCTGCATTGTCTCTTCTCCATTGATCGGCTCTCGGGCCTGTTTGTACCGGCCTCGGATCCTCCCTCCTCCGCTTCTTCGGCATCTTGAAGCGAGAGTCCCCTTTCTCCTTCTTTTTCCCATATCCCGGTTAACAGCCCCACACCCCAGTCTCTTGCCGACCCGACCCCACCACCAAATGCATTTGTGCCGAATTCAACCTTCGATCTGTCACCTTCCTTCCCTCCTCTTGTCCGTCTCTCTGTCTATCCTACCATTTGTCGAGAATGCGCCACAAACTAATGAGAATGTCGCTGCCGCTGCTATTGTCTTCGTATTCTCTCTTCCTCTCTTACCTCCCTCTCTGTCGCTCTCAATTTCATTCATTCACTCTCCCCCATGTATAATATCTATCTATTTAACAAACTACTGCATATTATACAATATTTTAAATGATGCTGCAAAAGACAACCTGTCTTTGCCTTCCGCTCTTGGTCGTCTGCGTCGTGAAGAATTGGTGAGTCGGGATTGTGTTGTTTTTGGTCCGATGCATTCCGTACATTTCGGGATGTTTAACTGTTTCATGTGGACTAAGGTTGCGACAAATTCGGTGGAGTAGCTGAAAGGGGGTTGCTAGACTGCTGTCTTTGTTGTTGACCCTGCCCCAATTACCCAGTTAATTGGTTTTACGAAGTGGAGATTAAACCTCCTTGATTCCCCGGACCCCGTGACTCTCTTTCACTTTTATGGTCAGACATTTTTTATATCCTCTGTAGTGATCCCGTGGTGGTTAGTGGACTCGAATGAGAACCAGGGACTTGTATTTCCTATTGGTGTCGAAATTGTGACCTTTCTGACCATTCCAAATTGTCGTCAAGGTAATACCACTTTACAGGTGCTCTCAATAGGCTCTCTGAGGTCGGGCTTTTGCCGCAAGAATTCAAAGTCCCATAATTTCTCCACCTTCCGTGTTATCATATTGGTCCTGAAATGCGGCAGAAAGTACGAGGGAACGGGGTGGAGGGCGAGGAGAGGGTGGCAAGTCCTTCCTCCGGAGGGTAAATTGTCTCATGGATGAGCATTGTGGTATCAAAAGGTGTTGCCTTGTACAAGATCAAGGGCGAAGTATTCTGCAGAGGAGGAAAGGAAGATTCTCATTTTGCATTGAGTTCGGCAGTGTGGACGGTTCCAAACGCCCAATTTTTTAGACATTAAAAGGGGACTTTCCATTAGGTAATAGCGTTTGAAGTTGGTCATCATGATCATTGTGGAACAGGTGATTGGTTTAAATCGAATCTATGGTGCGCTTGTTGGCTTCACTCTGTGATACAGAATAGGCTTCTCATCAAGGGTCACCCACTCAGTCAGTCAACAATGTATTACACGTTTCCTAATGGTGGGTTGAAAAATGTGCCAAAGAACCTGGTACCTCAGAAGCCGTCTGTCATCTGTCAATGCACGCCAATGCGGATGCCACTCATTCACCTAGTTTCCTCCGCTGCAGCTCAAATTCTCCTGAGGCGACGTGGGGCAGAATGATTGGCTCCACGTTTGCATGATGAACAACATGTTCGTTGATTCGAGCATGAACTCGGTTTGTAAAACAGATCCAACAAATGCTACGGGGCTTCAATATCTGTGTTTCGTAGTGGTTGAATACAGACAATGCCATTTCACATAATTATTTCAGCTTCAATAAATCGAAGAGGTCTGCTACTCTAGTCACCTCACTATTAAGAGTGTTCGAATTCGTGAGTTGCGTGCGTTTTTTTATATCACGACTTGTGCCAACAATCAGCTTACTGAATCGTTCTCCAGTCTTACTTAAAAAGTAGCCATTGAGACTGCTTTATTGTTCTCACTCCACCTGCCAGCAACGCTTGGCTTGATGATCAAGCTATGCTTGTTAAAAAACAAGGAGGTGCGCTTTCCAAAAAGATGGTTTTAAGAAGTCTTCATTTCCCATTCAAATTTGACCGCTAAAAAGTATGTAAATTGGCCCTATCGATCAATCAAAACTGCTATTGATTTCTTGATTCCGATCAGCTGATTCAGAGGCTGATTAGTGTTTCATTGATCTTTCGCTATTTACTGGATGTTCTGGGATTTTTCAAGATTTGTTTTTGTTTACATTAGTTTTGTTGGTTCCTCGAAGCAATCGTGATAGAAAATTGAGCTTGCTACTTTCATGTATTTTTATTTTATAGGCAAATGTTTTTGATAACATGCAGTCTCTTTTTCACTTATGACCTGTCCAAAACTCATCCAATCACCAAATCTGATGGTGTTATTTTCTTGTTCTAGTTTCTCAGTTAGTCTAAAATCCAAAAGCGTTTAGAAAGTCGAGTAAAGTGAAGCAACTTACCTTCTCTCTTCCCTCCTATTGATTTTATGACTTTTTGTGCACCATGTGTGTATGCTCTTTTTGCTCAAGGTCTGTGTGCAATTAAGAAGAGGAGGAGAGTAACTAGCGACATCACGGCAAATTGTTATGCATTAACTGACTATTTACAGCTGCATTTGCAGAACACCTCTCCCTCTTCCTCCTCCTCCTCCTCCTCCTCCCTTTATGCTAATTGCCTGCACTTTTTCGCCTACCCCCTCTCCCCCCTCGTCACAGCTAAGACGCGCCTTGATGTGTGAACTCGGTGGTTCGGTCGTTATTTCGGTGGTGTGCGGTGGTGAAGTTCGCCTATCGATCTACTTTGCCACTGCACCGAGTAACCACACCTAGCTGGTAAATCGTGATTACAATCCTAGCTATCGCTCTCTTTCTCACCTAGGTGACGAGATGCACTTTAGGGGGATGGTGTTATCACAACCTGAGATCACAACGGCACGAGAGATGAGGAGTTGGTAACTTTGTTACCCAATTGGTGGTTTATATCTATGCCTCAAGGCGGGAACTCGAACAAGTGCATCTGTGTGTGTGTGTGTCTAGACACATTGGAGTGAAGTGAGGCGGTGGCTACAGGTCCAGTTAAGTGACACACCCCGCATGCCTTCTGCAAGGAGGGGGGCGCCTGGTTTTTGGACACTCTCCAGCACTGCCGCTGCGTATCCCTTTTAGAGTAGGTGGTGGACATGTAGGTAAAAGCCAAGTCTCCATTGTCTCAATTAAGCTAGTTAAAAAAATGCTCTTAGTAAATTCAAGTAGCTAAGTCCACGGCCTTCTAAAGTACTAGTCAGAACAATTAGTAGAGGCTTTTCGTTTTGAGTTGAGAGCTGTCCAACGCGACCCTCCATTGGCTGTACTATGTTAGCAGTGAGGACGGCATGTGCGGTAGGCAAAATGAGCGCCAAAAACGAAAAATATTTGCTTTCTTTTTGGAATAAAAAAAAATCTACAATGACTTTGCTGTATGAATGCAGCCAAAGTCTTCGCTATCAGGAGAGCAAAACAATCAACAAAAATTTGGCCGGTCTACGCATCTCGTCGGGTTCAAATATCTAGGTCGTCTGGTTCTGTCTAGGCAATGAGAGTCCATGTTTTTCTCAAAAACCAGTCAACTCAGACAAAGGCGGATGTTAAGTACCCTCCTTTTAGCTTGGTTGCAATCAAGCCAAATTTCCAGCACCTACGCCTCAAATCTCCGCATGCTCTCTAACCGGCGTTGGTATGTTAACATGTGGAGTTAGAAGGTGGACGAGTCACCCATTGCCTTTAATTTAGGACAGTCATTCTCTGCACGTCGATCAAACCAACCTCATATTGTTTTTGTCCTCATGACGCCTTGTGAACCTGATTTCTCTCTCCGAAATCCGTGTCCTGGCGAAAAAATGCTTAGGACTTAAACAAAGGACCACTGAGCGAAATATTATGAGGCATCATATTAATTCACTTAATAATGATCTATTTTAATTTAACCCTGGATAAAAAAGTACAGTTTCTAGTAAAGTACAATGTGCTCAATTATAAGCCAAAAATTGGTGACCCTTAGGAGTCTTGACACAATATTTTCAATCTGCATCATAGCCACCTCGGTTAACCGAGGTTTGCTTTGTGAAGGTCCTATGACTCAACCTTTTGACGGTGTTATGAGCATAATCATTCCCCACGTAATCTGGGTGTAAAGTCAACTGGAGCCTAAAGCAATGCTGTCTGATTTTAAAAGTGGCAGAGAGCCAATATTTGTCCAAAACAACCTAGAAATTCAGACCTTAAAGTACGCTACGGGGTCGCCATTGCGTTTCTTGATTGGAAAGGTCAGCTTGGGTGTGTTTTACCAGTGTAATGTGCGTCTAGTACCGTAACAGTCTGACTTCTAATGCCTCTCAAGCCTATCTGTCACAATTCGCTATTCCAACACCTTACGGACTAAAAGTGCTGCTTTGATTGGTTGTTCAAAAAAATCGATAATTCGCCTCGTCCATGTCTACTCAGATGTGCCCTACCGGATCTGATCGGATGTTATTGTATAGCGCCTACTTCAGCTATTCTACGGCGGAAAAAAATTGCATTTAACACTGATCTGCTATAGTGCATTCTTAATTTAGGTTACATTCAAGACTAGACGAGTCAAATAAAGTGCAATTAGAAGTAGTTTTATGTATAAGACGCCTCGGTGCTAGTGGTGTATAAGTGGGGGTATTTAACACCCTACATGTGGCATGAAAATCGCTACGACCAGTCTGATGAGTCACTCCTACCTCTGCATTTCTGGCCTGCCCGTTTTTTTTTACTTTCGCCTGCCAGCTTGTCTGCTCCCGCCTGTGTATGTGGTGGTAAGAAAGGCGAAAACCTGGTTCGGGAATCATGTTTCGTGGATTTTGGGGAAGATGGAAAGTCGCATCCTCCCTCCTACCAGTTGTCGTATAAAGGGCGAATCTTGTGCTACTGAATCAGGGGGGATCCTTGCAACGCCATTTTTTTTTCATTAAGCTCTGTGAGACCACCTTTTTCGGCCATTAGTCACGTGGCAGAGGACCCAATTTACGGACAGTCAACATGACTATTTTCCCACATCACCTTTTTTTTACTTCCCTCTTCTCGACATTCACACGACGCATGTGTATCAAAAAATAATTCGATAACTGGTCGCCTCTCTGCCCTCATTCGTGCTCAGCGCTGCAAAGATCCGCATCTAGCCGCTGTTAAACGCAACATAAGAATGAGTTCTGTGAGAATGTTGTGGCGTAACTCCTCTGCCCCGAGTTTCAAGTTCTCATGCTCATATCATCATATGACACTTAGAATTGATATTGCCGTTGAGAGGATACGTTTCCAGAGGGTAGGTTTCTTTTGTCACCTTAAACGCTTGTCGGGGCAGAACTTGGAATTATGGCAGGAAAATGGTCAACTAGAAAACGGTGTTTATTGTATTGGTGCGAAAGTACAAGGCAGTAATTGAACAATTACCGGAGCGTAATTCAAAAGGCAGCAACAGAAAAAATCTCGGAATAGCAGTGGAAAAAAAGAGGAAGAAAATCAGACAAAATTCACACTGAAAGGAGGGTTTGTTTTGTAAGTCATTAAAGGGAAGCGGATGAACCTTGATGTGAACAGTGCTAAAAAAGTGTACTCAAATAAATTGATAGTTAAGTCTAACACTTACGGCTCCGCTACGCCCTTCATCCTGTTAATTAAGTTTTTATTCGTTCCCCCATAAAAACCGGTGAAATTCCCGCCTTTACGATAGTAGTTTAAATTGCCTCACTCTTCACCCTCTGTCTGAAAGGGCCGTACAAACGCCGTAAACGCAGCCACCATCATCATCATCATCATCATCGCCATCACTGCCTCTCTCATAAACTTTTTTACAATCAGACACGCACACAGTAAGCCAACCTTTGTACTTTCAAATTCCTCCATTTAAAGATACAAAAGTGGCATTTACGTACCGAAGGAGTCGACTCTGACTGCTAATTTTAACACAGAAGGCAATTTTCCCCACTGGCCAATGAAATGTTCCCACCAAAGAAGCGTCCACCTCGACAGCACCCTGAAAGGCAATAACAACCAGGAGGGTACTGAGTGGGCCGTTTTGCTTCTTCTTTAGTTCTCCCTGAAGAGAATGCACTTTAGCATCTCGTGACTCAAGCCAGGCAAGTTAAATAGGGAGAGAACGAGAGAGAAAGAGAGAAAATGAAAGGGGGGCGACCTCGGAAAAGGACACAAACAACAACAGTACAACCCTGACACATGGCAATAGTGCAAAACTGTTGGCAGAAGTGAAAGATCACATAAATGACTTGAGTTTCACAATTGATCTTGTTCACACAAGCGTCTACCAGGCCCGAGTATGAGCTAGGGGCCAAGTAATCCAAGTTTCCGCTAACGTAAAACTCCCAAGATAAATATATCAGAACCGTAATTAGTGGTTGGGTCGCCAGTCTGGATGAGGAGGTCTTGGGGATTTCCGAGCTGTGACTTTAATCACAGCAACACGGCCACGTCACTGCAATGCACACTCGAATAATGCGTTGTTTGTGTTATAGAGCAACAGCCTCCTCCTCCTCCTACTCCTGCTCAGCCTCCACCACTACTCAATGCGTCTTCTATTTGCCACCACAGCTACCAATTGTCGTGTTACTTCGAAACCTTGCACCGATTGTCCTCCGCCTACTTCATTGTTTTTGCTTTACATCTCAAATCATGCCGTTTTATCGTCCTACCCAGTACCGCCTGTACGCATCATCGCGTCAACTGTAAAATGCACCTCAACTTTAAAACACGAAATTGCAGCGCTCAAACACACGGAAGTTAGCGACACAGTGCCTGTGATTGCCAACGTGGATGTGATGGTGGTGCTGTCAATATTGCAATGATCCACACACACTCCTCACTCACACAATATGCCCATCCGCTCCCCGACCCACGCACTCCTCCCTCCCCTCTCGTCCTTCCCACCTCCACCACCAGGCCTCACGTACCACGTGCCCCACAGTCGGTCAGTCAATCAATCAGTCGGTGAGGTATGCAGAGAGACAGACAGGCGAACAGACAGAGAGCAAAGTGGATGCACACGCAAACACCGAAACCAGCACTCTCAAACCGCCGTCCGGACGACAGCTATCAAGTGAGCCAGCAAAAAAAAGGAAAAAAAGCAACAGAAGTACAGACAGGCAAACAAAGAAACAAATCGACATGCATGTATGTGTGTCAACACACACCTCAGACCGTGGACTGTGTGCTGCACCGTGGAAGGCATGGAAGGTGGGCCACGTGTGTGTGCTCCCAATGGACTGCCTTGTGAGATGACACAGGTGAGACGCGAGAGGGAGCGAGAGAGAGAGAGAGAAATGGAGGAAAGGGAAGGGGTAGGAGTAGGAGTAGGAGTGGAAGGAGGAGGAGGAGGAGGGTGAGGGGGTGAATAATGCCACTGACAGCAACGGCGCTTTGTCCTTGACAGGCTGTGTGGAGTGAATGTGACTACTTTTGTTTGCACAATCCACCCTCCATCCATCCCTTCAACAGCAGAGATCACCCACCGCCACAGGCAATGCATCACAAATCAAGGCTTCTTTTCATTCCTTCCCCAACCATATGTTCGGTCAAAGACCCGCCTTTATGACCACACGTCTTCCACTGCCTCCGTCTCCACCCTCACTGTGCGTGTGCATGTCGTCACCACCACCACCACCACCACCACCACCACCACCACCACCGCCGCCGCCGCCGCCTCCATCATAACCTTTTGCATTCAGCAGTGGCTGTGGCGAAGTCTTATTGCCGCATTGCAGACCATACCAACTATTTGTGTGTGTGTGTGTGTACTTTAAAATTCCCCCACTTGATGGCACAAACGAGGCGACTCTGAGGGTGTCTGCGAGGTAGTGGCTCTCACTCCCCTCGTTCCCTCCCAGTCTGTAGCCACCAATAAGGTGGATGGAGGGGGAGAGAGAGGGTGATGTGAGGAGGCTAAGCGAGATTGGCAGTGAAAGCCTCTGCCCATGGCCCTCTTTCACAACGTCATTAAACCATCTGTAGGTAGAATGGAATTAACTTCTGTGAAACGACTCAAAATTCGTGCCTGGTTTTAATCTTCGTCAGTTTCGTTCATTTCCTACTGCTGTGGTGGGTAGTTAGTGACAGTCAATGCCTTAGTGGAGCTGTGGTAGTACCCCTTAAAGCGCTTTTATTGACACCCAAAGATGCACGTAAAAATGAGCCCTATTTGTGTGAGACTAATAGTTGATGGCATGGCGGGAAGGAGGAGAGAGGGGGCACTATCTCTATAGTTGCCATAGGCGTAGGCAATGTGCTCACTGGAAAAGTACTTACTTCTTGAAAAGTTGACTCAGTTGTCACTTGGCATCGCCAAATGAAATACTTTCAAGTCTATCTGTAACGTTTAACTTAGAGTTAACTTGTTTTAAACAAATGGGTGTAGTTGAGTTTTATTGCTGGTTCTGGTTCTCGAGGTTGTTCACTGCCTTCTAAGCAATGGCTTTCATGGCTTCTACACAAATGCTCGAGAGATGTGCTTGAAATACGCCCATCTTACATAAGCCATGTTCATGAAAAGGGAACGACTCCTGCTACTTTCGATTCGATAAGTAGAGTACATGTAAGGATACGAGAGAAGCCAAGGCACAAATTGCCCGGCGATGTTTTACGCTGTCATAGAGAGACCGCGGCCGGTCTCACTATTATTAAAATGGAGAGTGAACACCGAAAATTATGGGGACACACACACAAAAAAAAACAAACTAGTAGTGTCACCGCATAATTTCAGCTCCTCAAATGACTTTGAACTTAACTTCTCCCCATTTTGCTTTGTTTATGTGCGTTGTTAAGGTACTCGTCAGCATAGATTTCAGTTGATAATAAGCACTTATAGCATCTAGGTTTACCATTACCAATGAATGCACTTCTCAGTGTTTGATAAAGCAAATTCGGAAGATACCTCTCTCTCACGATTGAACGACTTTCGCTATTTCCATAAATTGCCTTGCCTACGCTTGGGGATAACGATGAGTGGACCACTCCCTAGGTAGTACCTAAGGCCTTCTTTAAAGTCACACAGCCTGGAAATTTTGTGCACTTCTTCATCTCACGACAAATCGTTACTCATGAAGTGGTTAATGTATGGTTAGTAAAGTTGCTATGTGATTGACCGTACATAATTTTGTACAGATTATCACCTGTTTCCACAACAAGCGGAATCAGCTAAGGAATTTTACTATAGCTGACCTGAAAGTCTCCTATCTATTTAAAATGACTCTTCGTCATTAGCAAGCATTAGGAACTCCGATTTGAATTTGGCTAATGAAAATTTGACGTGATTTTGACAGCCCCTCCACGTAACCAGCCATCCAGCCTTCATCCTACTCCTTTTTCGAGTGGTAGCTAGATGACTCAGGTTTATGTCGCACTGACGTAAGCGACGAAGAAGGTGAGACCGGTAGATGGCACCAGTGTTGAACCAAATGTCATCATATAATTCCTCAAGCCAAGACTTAGTTTCATTTCAAAGGTTAGGACAAAAATCAAGATCTGTTAGCGAAAAACGAAGGGAACACGAATGTTTCACTTCATTAGGCCGCAATGAGTTAGTCACCTTCTGGACATTTAAGTAGTTTGATTTAAGACGGAAGGTGAGATGCATAAATTTAATTCTAAGCGGATCTTCTTGAGACAATATTAGTGGAGTTGAAAAGCTTTTAACTGTGACGCAAATTCGTCCTGCTACCTACACTTCAGTCAAATGTGTGATTGCAATACCCCTTGATTTCCATTGACAGAGCTGTAACAACTGAGAGTTGAGGATGGCGTTCAAATCAAGACCAAGGGCATGTATCATGTTTATGTTTGCTTTAGGCGTATAAATTGTTACATCCACCGGTTCTGTACCATCCATCTGAAAGGCTGTCGTGTAACATCGTTGTTAGAAGTAGCTCAAGCGCTACAGTCACAAAAAATACTGTTCTAGAAAGGCTGTCTTGAAATAAAACAAATAAAAATCGTCCAAGAATTACTGATGTCCTGAAATGGAAGTCGTAAACCACCCAAAACGCAAGGTCAAAAATAAGTGATAAACGAGATGTTAAACCAAGGAAAAGCAATTTGTCATACTCACACAATGGGAACTTCTTAGGGTAGAAGCAGGATCTAACATTCGCGTTTTAGCCACCACCACCACCACCATTACCAACGCGTTGGTGAGCTTGTTATGCATGCAGCACCGCCTGAACCAATCCATTTTCGACCTTCAACAAAAAAATTAACAGCGCCAAAGTACATCGTGCCAGTAGTTGTCACAATCACGCCCACAGTCATACAAAACCCTCTTGCTTGCCTGCCTAGTGCAGTAGTAATATTATCCGACTTCTCTCCTCCTCTTCTTAAGCCATCAAATGGCAGTCTTTACTGCTAAAGCAGAACAGATCTACACCCTATTATAGATCGACCGATCATAGCTCAGGCTGATTACTTTTCTCCACACCTGCATTGTAGTATCGATTTTCCTCCCCACCTCATTGGCTGACCAATCGATTTTGCTTTGCTTGTGGTGGGGATGAGTCATCGTACACTAGTGACGATATGCAGATGCCTGTGAGGCGATGTAGGCTACGGCATTAAGACATCAATTCTGCAAGTAATAATAGTGATTGTGCTAATGACGATAATGCCTGGTCATGTAAATGAGCGCTGGCACAAGTGTTCGAAGTGGATTAGCGTGACCAAAGTGTTTGGTGAAGCATTAAAAATTATTGCCAGTTGGAATCACAAAAGGCGTTGTGCTAGAACCGTATTTTTTGGTTCAGAGCCTCCCCGAAAATATTGGCACAATGGAGCTGTGTTTGTTAACTTTAAGACTTAAAGGAGTAGCTATTATTAAAAGCAATTTAGTAAAATAGGAATGTAATGCCTTTAAGGTCACTAATTCGCCTGCTGTTGGCCGTTCTCCAGTTCTTCGCCGATGGGGCTGGAGCACTTCATCACGCGTTTTCAGTAGAATAAGGGATGGCTTATCTACACTACGTTGCATGAAATAGCGCCTTGATTCTCAGTCATTCTCAGCCGGTTAGGCTGCCCTAGTTGGCAACAGCTATGTGTTGAGTGCCTGGCCCAATGTTGCTGCCGCAATGAACTGATCCAACGGCTCTCTCTCACCTTGGGGTCATATCTGCTCATAGAATTGAAGGTGAACTTTAGTGATTGACAAGGCAATCAGGTCGGAAACCACGCTATTAGAACTGCTCATGAGTTGGTCCAGGTGTGATGACGTAAACGCCAGAGGACGTGGAGACAAGATACGAATCTCACTCCACAGTTTCCTGTATAAACGTAATTATCGTAAATAAGCACTTTTTGGAAGGCTTACTTTATTGGAAATGAGCATAGTCATTAAAATGAGGCATAGACAGTAGAAAATTAAAACGCTGGCTAAATGTGCTTAAGGTCTAGATATCAAGGAATGCAATGTCTTAACTAATCAACTTTTCGCAGTGTCTGTGACAATAACTTTGGTACTATGGCACGAGAATAAACTCCTAACACTGCATGGCCTTTCTTGCCTTCTTTGCCTTGAGACTATTGACCATGCTCCTTAAAGGCGTCGATTTTTCCAACCTACACAAACTGACCTTCAAAGAGGTTTTTCTGGATCTACAGAGGTCTACTCCATTCATGCATGACCGTCCATTAAGTCTTTCAAGTAGAGGAAAACTAAGGCAAGCTTAGTCATGGTTCAGGTTCGCAGACGATATTCCAGTTGACTTCCAATGGAGGAGTCTTACATTTCATTTTACTGATTTGGCGGAACATTTTTTCACTTTGTTATAAACTATGCAATCTCATACTTAGCCACGGTGCAAGTGCAGAAAATATTCGTGGTGTTTTTATTCGTCGCTGAAGTCATTTAAGTAGTAAACTTACATTATACAATGTTTGAAATTATTCAACCGTAGGAACAGTTAATGAAAGCTTAATCGAACTGAAAGCGATGAAATTGTTAAGGTTTTTGAAGCTTCGGAAACATGTCTCTAGAGGACGCAGTGGAAGTCCATTCCTTGAACCGATACCCAGGATTTGGTACAACTATGCAACTAAAATTGAGTGGTGATGCCTCGGTTGTTTAAGTTTCTTCCATTGTGCTTTTTGCACCAATAAAGATCCAAAAGCCATTGCATAAACGGCACGGTCACAAATTTCTGCACAAAGCCGGATCCGGAGAGTTGTGACGCAATAGACTAACTGTTTGCTTAATACCAACTACGCCGAAAACAAACACAAAAATTGAAATAACGAGAGAATGACACAGATTTGGAACCTGAGTGAGAAAATTGCTTTAGATTTAGCCCTATCCTGAGCAAATGTAATGGACAATTCGCGTAGATGGATGAACACTCCCAACACAATAGCTTAATGATTGAGTGACTGCACACTCACCCCTGGTCCAAATGGTCAGCTCATTGCTGAATTGCGGCAAAGTGGGCAACTAGATAGGCACTTTTCCTCCTCCTCTTCCTCTCAACGGGAAGCATGGATTGACAACAGTTCCCACTGTAATTTTAAGTACATGCGATAAATGGCTGTGAAAACGATAATGACAGCATTGACATTTTTGACAACATCTATCTCAACCGATCGTGTTTCGCTCTCTCTCTCTCTCTCTCCCCTCTCTACCACAATATTAACAGCAACTGCAATTTTATAATTGTCAAACTCTCCAATCAAACCGTTGGCAGCCCAAGGGTGGTAGAAGGTCCATTGTGGAGGTCTGTGCATTGAAGTGACTACAAATAGCATTTCAGAGAATCTGCAACTTTGGTGCCTCTCATAAACGATGCGACATTAGCTCCGGCTAATTAGATTGCACTCCTTTTATTGGCAGAGGTGAGAGTAATTAATAGGATTATACATTTTATAAATACTTTTTAACCTGTGCCAAATGTGTCATCTAATCGCATTGGCGTAGCCTGCAACTCCTCTGTAATGGCCTAGTTCACGGGTAAACGAGCAGTCCCCGAAGGCATGTTTTCGGAAAAATGGGAAATATACGATTAGCAGGCGGGAATGCATGGAAGCGGATGGTTAAGGAATGACAAGGAGGCAGACATTTGTACACTTGAGAAAGACAGTCCCTTCTGCAGAGACGAAGCACAACTCACCTTATAGTCCACCTCCTCTTGTGTGGATCCTTCTAGATTTTGCCTTTGTTCCATCAAGTAATCACGTCTGTTGGCACACCACACTTGGCGTTATTGGAAGCATCGATCAGTCAAGAAGACATTGAGTTTATTTCTCTCCACCGTTATCACAATAAATCGTCATTATTCGCTAATTTCGTTCCAGTCGTAGAAATTTACTGCACTGCCTTCCTAATGTCCAAGACTGGATCACGCACTACAAGGCGGCTACCTCAAAAACAGGATCGGTTTGTGAAGGGAAACCACTGCCTCTGATCTGTTCTACGCTAGTGTATTGGAACCCTTCACACCTGCCACCAACTCTCCTCCCATTCATCTGGACCTTGCTTAAATAGTTGAGGCGTAAGTGGGGCGTCTTCTGTTTGATCGAGGAACACTCCAACTTCAGCGTCCCAAACAGCTTCACAATCGTTCAAGTAGGTTACAACTTTACTTCGCTGTACCTTTGTGTAAAAACCCGAGGATGGAGTTACCCTCATTTTTCAGTCCTCCCTACTTTGGACACTTGGTCTTTTGAATAGGTTTCGTGTGCCATTGCTACTGCAAAACATAAAGACCGATCTTCCACAAAGGTTAAGCTGGCATAGAGACTTAAGTGCCAACATAAGTAGGCACCCAGGAAAGAGAAGTGTCGTTATGAGACTCTCTGTGCCAGACATGATGTCTCGAAACGATCTCTCAATCCAGTTAGAGAATCCGAGACCCAACTTCTGATGATGAACCCGATCGAATTGAATTCACCCAGCAGAAATTAGTATTGCCAGCAGATAACGCATGTGATCCCCAATTGGCATATTCCCTTCCTTTACACCAACAAAAAAAGCTTCAGTAAAGTATGGGAAAAGGGACCATGGACAGAGGCTTTCACTGCCAATCTCGCTTAGCCTCCTCACATCACCCTCTCTCTCCCCCTCCAT